AAAGAGAGGAGAGGAAACGCGGCGATGTTTTGCCGAGGTATCGGAGAGTCACCACTCCCCACTAGTCCTCGTTGGAGCACCTGCTCAAGGGTGTAGCTCCCCCTTGATCCGCGCAAGGATCAAGTGCTCTCTACGGGTTGATTCTTCGACACTCCGTCGTGGTGAATCACCCACAACCGCTCACAATCTTGAGTCGGGTCACCCACAAGCTCTCCAGATGATCACCGAACTCCCAATCACCACCAAGCCATCTAGGTGATGGCGATCACCAAGAGTAACAAGCACGAACTTTCACTTGACCACGCGAAGCCTAATGAGAAGATGGATGCACACTTTGCTACTCTTGATTCACTAATTAGGTTTCACTCTTGGATTCTCAAATCACAAACACCTCACTAGGACCTTGCTCTTCTTGGCACTCACAAGTGTGTTTCTCAGCTGTTGCAATGAGCAAAAGTAACTCCACACACGAGTGGAGCTTCTATTTATAACATGGGATGAAAAACGAACCGTTATGTGCCTCTACGAGGTGACCGGACGCTCCGGTCAGTTCAACCCGCACACCAGTGTTTAAGTGTTGACCGGACGTCCGGTCGCAAATATCCCTCACTGGAACCTTACTAGAGTCGACCGGACGCTGGTCCTCAGCGTCCAGTCACTTGACCTCTCCAGCGTCCGGTCAACCCAGACTAGTTCACCTCAGTTAAATGAACTAACCGGACCTCAGTCATGAAAGCGTCGGCCGACCCGACCGAGCCGCAGCGTCCGATCAGTCTTTGACCCTCCATTCACTTCCAACTTTTGATCATTTGTGAATGAAGTTTGCTCCATAGGATCATAGGGCTGTTGTGGAGCTACCTAGTGCTAGTTTCAACAAGTGTGCACCACACCTAACTCACTAGACTCATCTAGGTCAAGCTACCCATCCATACCCCCCTTAATAGTATGGCCAAAGGAAAAACAAAGTCCTAAACTACTCTAAGTGTCTCTCCAACTCCAATCGACACTTAGAACTAGTCATCCTTAACCTTGTCGTCCATCCTTTGAAAACCGAAACAATTTCCATCGTAGGGGCATGACAACCATGATTGCCCAATCGATCACCATTACCGTGACCTGACTTAATTGCCTCTGCAAAACACATGTTAGTCACAGTAATCTAACATTGTCATTAATCACCGAAACCCAATTAGGGGCCTAGATGCTTTCAGGGACGGCCATGAACTTCACATAGCATAGACATCCCAGGATGACGTCGTAGGTCCCGTGGAACCCAACCACCTTGAAGGTAAGGGTCTCTATCCTATAATTGGTCGGATTCCCGAAGGTGACGGGCAAATCGATCTGCCCAAGTGGCATGGCATGCTTTCCAAACACGATGCCATGGAAAAGCACCTCGGTCGGCTAGATGCGTGATTGGTCGATGCCCATGACATCGAGCATTTTAGCATACATGATGTTGAGGCCGCTGCCTACATCCATCAGCACCTCGGTGAGCCGCTTCGTGCCAACGATCAGGTCGACCACGAGCGGGTATCTTTTCGGTTGGGGACGCTTTCTGGGTGGTCGGTCATATAGACCTCGTGGCATGCAAGCTTCTAGCGACGCTTGGAGTCATAGGCCGCTAACCCTTTGAAGATCATGAGGTAGTCATCCAGCATCAAAAATCCACCGTCCTTCCCCTCGGCGTTGTCTATGGCCGGCTTGGGCTTCTTCCTATGCTCCCCCTTGTTGGAGCCTCAGAACAAGAACCGCTTCATGAGGACGCAGTCCTTATATAGGTGCTTGATGGGAAAAGCATGGTTTGGGAATGGCCTTTGAGCAGCTTCTCGAAGTGGTTTGGGGTACCCTCGGTGGCCTTCTAACCCCCCTTGTGGTCGCTAGTGGCCACGAGCGAGCCCTCGCGCCGCTGCTTGTTCTTCTTCTTGTTGGGGAGGTTGGAGGCGCCTTCACCGATGTCCTTGTCCCGCTTTGCCTTGCCCTTGGGGTGGTCGAAAATCGCCCCAACCGCCTCCTCGCCCGAGGCATGACTGGGGCGATGTCGAGGAGCTCCTTGGTGGTTCGCGGGCCCTTATTTCCTAGCTTCAACACCAAAGAATCACAGGTGGTCCCAGACAGGAAAACTCCTATGACATCGGTGTCGACGACGTCAGGCAGCTCGTTGCACTGTCGGGAGAAGCGCCGGATGTACCCACGAAGAGTTTCTCACTAGACTTCTGTCGGCAGTTTTTGAGATCCCATGGGTTCCTAGGATGGGCGTATGTGCCCTGAAAGTTTCCCACGAAGATATCTTTTAGGTTCGCCTAACTTTGGATTCAGTTGGGCAGAAGGTGTTCCAACCACGTTCGCGCCGAATCGGCCAGGGACAATGGAAGGTTGTGGATAATGAAATTGTCACTATTTGCTCCACCGGCTTGGCAAGCAAGCTAATAATCCTTGAGCCACAGTCCAGGGTTTGTTTTCCTAAAGTATTTTGGGGTGTTGGTCAGCGATCGGTACCGCGGTGGGAAGACGACATTGAGGATGTGCCGGCCAAAGGCCTGAGGTCCCAGCAAGTCAGGGCTTGGGCTTTGGTCCTCGCCGCTGTCGTAGCGTCCACCATGATGAGGGTGGTAGCTATGGCTAGCCTCCTCCTTCTCATCGCCGTGGGCATGCCTGGGGGCATCCAGGGTGTTGCGCGTGTCATGGTGGAGGCCGAGACACTCATGCACCGAGACCATGGTGCGTGGCCTGTCGCCTCACTATGCCTGGTGGACTGACTCATCCCTATCGGGTCGCTCTGAGGGCACGCACTGGCTGGCGTCGAGCTCGCGTCATCGGGACAGTGAGCTCTGGGCCTGCTGCACCGCTGCACGCTCGAGTAGCATGCGAATCTCGCGATGGACCCGATGATCCTCGAGTGTCGTGGGCTTTGGAAGCCCCCGGAGCAAGGCCGCCATGGCAGTGATGTTCTGTCATGCCCGGGTGAAGTGTGGTAGGGCTTCATCATCCTTGATGATCCTCCAATTCATGTCGCAGGCCACGGCATGCGCACACCCACCGTCTCTATGGTGCTCGAGCTCCGCGTGTTCCTGCTCGAGCTGGAGTCGTGCTTCTTTAAGCTCCTGGTGTCACGCCCTCAGCTGCTCTACCCGTAGGTGAGGTGGGGCCCCTGCATCCCCCTCGACCTCATCATCGAGGTCGTCTGTTGGGGTAGCCCCTCCCTCATGGATGCTTTCGATGTATCCCTCGGGGGTACCTACCATGAAACATTCTCATGAGGGGTGATGGCTCCTCCTGTTGAGTCAGAGTCGGAGGGCGACTCCGATTCTTCTACGAGAAGGTCGTGGAAAGATTCCGCGATGTATTCGGTGGTCCCCACGAACTCATCATTCGTAGGGGATGGGGGCGTGCGCTGCGCCACAAGGTGTCCAACGGTCTCTACGGCATTAGGCAGACCAAATGAGAGCGCAGTCGGGGCGCTCCAAATGAGGTATTCCGGGGAGAGCGGCTCTCCTCCAACAAGCTGCATCATGATGTTGATGAACGAGAAGGTGAGGCGGCGTAGGTCCTCCCGGGACGGTTGAGGTCCCAGGAAGGCGCTGAGTTGGCGCTCTAGCCTCCCGTAATCGAAGCCAAGAAGCTGGTCGCTCCTGGGGGCACAGGCTTCTAGAGCATGCAGCTGCAACTCCTCAGGCGCCTCGGTGATCGCGTCGAGGCCGACGGAGTGGAGAGGTTGGACAGCAGCGGGAACCTGCGCCAACTCTCCCTCCGTTGTAACGATGAAGTCCAGGTTCCCAAAGCGTGCGTACATGCCCCGAACCCAGCTAACGCCATGACTAACCATCCGAGGCCTGATATGGACGTTGAGACGCGCAAAAAGCCCTAACTGGCGAGCCAACTGTCGGTGTTTTCAAACCACCAACGAGTAAATTTATATTTGCGCGTCTGGCTCGGATGGTGTGCTCGGATGACACAAGGGTTTATACTGATTCGAGCGGAACGTCCCTACGTCCAGTTCGCTGCTGCTCGTGTTATCGGCATTTGGTTTGCAGTAGGGGTTACAAACAGGCGAGAGAGGGAGAGGATCCCAAGTCTCTGGTGGAAGGAGTGAACGGGGGTCCTGAGAGCTCGCTTGCTGCTCAGCCGTGTGCTCGTGTCGTGCTCTTGTATCTCGATCTCGCCCCGATCTCTTCTATCATGGGGCGCCCTGCTTCCACTTTTACAGGCGAAGGGAAAGCGTCGGTTAAAGAGGAGGCAAAGGAGAAGAATGAGAGAAGAAGGTTTCCAGGGTTGCCGAGTCCTTCTTCTCCTTTATGAGGGTCTCGCCGATCCTGTAGATGTCAACAGGGACGGCTCCATGTCACGGCCCTGTTCATCACTGGCGCCATGCGTGGCGTCCTCTGCCGGTCATGGCGTTCCACTCCATCCCGGCAGACGTCTTGATAAACTGACGCACCTATCAGTGTCCGTACGAGGATTAGGCAGAACGCTCTGGCACGCCGACACTGTTCTTGATGTGAAGTCAGGTATGGCCCGTCATAGCCACGGGTTACATCGGGATGTGCCAGCCTCTTCCCTGGTGTCAGAGTTTTGACCCAGGTCCATACGCTTGGATCTGGAGTGGTTGACGACGGTATGGGTCCTCGTCGGACAAGACGGAACCCGAGTCATCGAGGTCGGGCGAGACGGAGCCCGCGACCTTGGGCGAGACAGAAACCGCGTCCTTGAGATCGGACGAGACGGAGCTCGTGTCCTTAGGGTCGGGCAAGACGGAACCCACACCTAAGGGGTCGGACAAGACAGAGCCCACAACCTTAGAGTTAGGCGAGACCTTTTAATACGTCTCGAGCCATTAGAGAAAAACAGCGTGGGCACCAACTTTCTGCATTGGGTATCCCTAATATCGATACCGACGAGCCGCGACGCCGGGACCGAGACTGCGAAGGACAAGGACAAGGACAAGGGCGGCGGCAAGCAGTCTAGGGAGCACACGTGCTCGGAGGCCGAAAGCGGGCGGTATGGCGTTCGTTCTTGGCGCCGTGGCCGTGGAGCCAAGGCGCGCAGCAGTGTGGACCGCCCGGCCCGGCCCGAGGGACACGCCACGTGCGGCCGCGCGCTCGGACACGGCAGCGCTCTCACGGCGGCGGGCTAGCACACACGCGCTGCAGCGCCATGGACCAGCTGTGCCACATGACGGAGCCGTGCCTCGTGACTTTCGAGCGCCTCATGCTCGCGTAGGCGCTCGAGTGCTTCTTCGAGCGCGCCGTCGACGGAGGCAAGCAGTCGGCTCTGTGCTCCAAGATCGCTCGGCAGCAGTGTCGGCCCTAGAGGTAGTCCACGAGGTGCGACGGCCGAGGGCCCAAGCGGAGGAGGGGCCCAAGCCCAGGTATACAAATCCCCAGCAGTGCCGGCCCTAAGGGTAGTTTATTAGGCATTAGCAAATTAATGAGAAGAGAGACGTAGAACTGGCCAGATGGTCCAAAAAGACAACATCGACATTTCTTTCCTATTTTTCTTTTTCCACGGCCCTTGGGTAGAGAGGAGGCGAGGAGTCATGTTGCACACAGCACACTCTGATAGTGAGTTCGCGACGTGCGCCCTATACACGCGGAGCTGGCGAGCCACACCGCCGCGAAGAGCTAGACTACCGGAGACACGGACACGGTACACGAGGACGGCGACTAGACAGGGCTCCACGACGATGACATCTTGATTCTTGGCTTCTTACGAATTGCGATCATCGATCAGTTGTTTAGGTCTAAGGTATTTTTTCTTTTTATTCTTAATCCAAATTAATTATTTGTATAGTATTCCAGACTTCTAGTACTTTGTACCCATATAGTCATATTTTTCTTTTAATTTAGGTGTTAGAATTTTAGAATGTTACCTAAGAAACATTTGTCATGGATGAGAAAAGAAAACGAATATATTATTTTTTTTAATCTATATTATTTCTCAATAATTATCATACATCTATAAATATATTGCTTAATCTACATTGTTCCTCGATAATTATCAGACATGTTAAATTAAAAATATATTATTGAATTTGTTTTTATTTTGCAAATAAAATTAGTGCCTATATATTATATGATTTTATACATGGTCAAGAGAGGCCGTTGCGATGAGACCGCCAAAGGGCCCTTAAGACCCTAGGACCGGCAGGTGCGTAATTTCTCTTTCTCAAAGGCCATGGCTACTAAAATTATTTCTTGTTCTAGATGAGTACAGTACAATGCAGAGCAAAAAACAAGTGTTTAATTAAAATCATGAATTTGCAGGCAATGTGCAATTTCTTGTTAAGCTACACTGCAAATTTCCAAATAAATTTGCCGATGATATTCATCCTCCTCCGCGTTTTGCATTGCAGGTCAGCCTTGACTACCAGGAAGTTTCAGTCAAGCTGGGCAGCCTCGAGCAGCAGCTGCAGCCGATCGACAAGTCGTGGGTGCCGCAGGTGCAGGCGAAGGCCGCCTACTTCCACGCTACGGCCAGCCTCCACTACGCGAGGTCGCTAAAGGAGGAGGGCCCTGGCTCCTTCGGCGAGGCGGTGGCGCGGCTGCGGTTCGCGGTGTCGGTCCTGGACGCCGCCAGCGGCAAGACGGGCCCGCTGAGCAAGAAATCGCCGTGCGCCGCGGCCGTGCGGGACGCCGCGTCGCGGCTCCGGAAGGAGGTCGGGGCCGAGCTGGCCGACGCGGAGAAGGACAACTGCCAGGTGTATTTCGAGCGCGTGCCGGCCGCCGACGTGCTCACGCCGCTGCCGGCGCTGGCCAGCCCGCTAGTGCAGCCCATGGCGGTGGAGTCGGTTCTGAGGGAAGCCGACGGCGAGTCTGCCTTGGCGAACGGCGGGGCACCAACGATTCGACATTGACGCTTTTGTGATGGTTTGCCTGCGTGTGTGTGTGTTTGTTCGTTGGCTTCTTCCAATCCAATCGTGTGCTCGGCGAGGTAATGCCGCGCAGCCATGATTTTGTGATTGATTTCTTCGATTCTGCTTCTGAGATCATCCCACCGTATTATCGTTTTAGTGAGAAGTACGAGAGTTGCATTCATTTTAAAGAGACAATGTACAATTGTACAAAAGGTTTCACTTGTAAGAAAGTCTTCATGGGCGTTGAATGTCGTCTTCTTGACTTACGACGCAGTTTTTCCTCGTGCTGTCCTCTTGAAGGGTAGAGGAGAAATTAGAAAGAGTAGAGTGCGCTAGCGATTTTAAACTTGTTCGGGTGTATCATTTTGATGATCCTTTAAATTCACAAATCGTTTGAAATTTAATGTGGACTACGTCAAGATCAAGGTCATTTGGAAATTTCAAAAAAATATATAAAATTTAAGAACTTGTCGTGTCTGGGTTTTAGGACATCGCATGTGGGGATGTCTGGGTTTTAGGTATCCAACATCGCAACTTGCTCGAAACCTTCTCAAATTTTTATCATAGCCTCCACATGCGATCACACGACACCTCGACAAGTTTCGTGAATTTTGGACTTCGTTTGCATTTTCTATAATTTAAATACACTCCGACCACAAGCGGGTCACTATGTTTGGCGAACAAGGCGTTCAAAATTTTGGGTGAGTTCCTGCATACGGCCTCAAAATACACTGTACAAGATGACTATCATTTTTTGAAAGGCTACATTTCATTATTTCATGCACCTGCAGTTCAAATTTACTTTTTCACAAAAAATGCAAGTAAACAAAATTAAATCAAGAAATATAGCAAAAAGTTATAAAAAAGTCCCAAATTTTAACATGTGCTTGTAAACAATAGATAAGGTCTACAAAAACAATTTGAAATCAAAATTCAAAAAAAACAAAAATACTTTGCCGAGTGCCATGCCTGACACTCGACAAAGAGGGCCTTTGCCGAGTGCCAGGCCGCAGCACTCGGCAAAGGATATTTCGAAAAAAAAATCCCTTCTGGAATAAGGGCCCACGGCCCATCCTCCTCCAACCCTATCCTCATTCACGCCGCTCCTCCTCCTGCCCAGAGGCAGCCGCGCCGCCGCGGCAGCCGCCGCGCCCTCGCCGCCTCACCCCCGCTGCCCACCAAGACCCTCCGCCCCTCCCGGCCCCCGCCACTACGCCTAGGCCCGCGCCGCCGCCCTGGTGATGCCCCGGCCCCACACCGCCCCTCGGAGGCCCCGAGGAGGAGCCCAACCGCGGTGCCCTGCCCCCAGCCCGGCCGTCCCTGCAGAGAGGAGGAGGAGCCCGGCCGCGGTGCCCCGCCCCTGGCCCGGCCGTCCCTGTAGAGAGGAGGAGGGGAGAAAGAGAAGGGGAGGAGGAGAAGGGAGGTGGGAGGAGAAGGAGAAGGGAGAAGGAAGAAGGAGAAGGGAGGAGAAGGAGAAGGGAGGAGGAAGAAGGAGAAGGGAGGAGGAGGAGGAGGAGGAAGAAGAAGAAGGAGAAGGGAGGAAGGAGGAAGAAGAAGGAGGAGGAGGAAGAAGAAGGAGAAGGGGGGAGGAGGAGGCGGACCTCGGTCCAACGATCGTTCACGCTGCTCGCCGACGACGTTTCGTCCACTCGTCGCCCCCGCACATCGCCGTTCATCCACACATCGCCGCCCCGTCCCTCGCCGGAGAAAAAGGTAAAGGCTCCGGGGTGTCGGCCTTGGTGTCGTTTATGTGTTGACGGCCTTCGTGCGGGTTTGTGTATGTGTGGGCCATCGTGCCCCAAATGTGGATGTCGGCCATCGTGCGGCTTTTTTTCTGCAGAGTTTTGGAAACCTCCCCGTATAGGGAGGTTTGCCGAGATCGAATTTTTCAAGTAATAGTGATGTGTTTCTTCTTTGCAGAAGCAGGGAGCTGTCGGAGGGGACCCGGAGCACCTCGGTGAACCCGATCGTCTTCGTCGGTGCTGCGGTCATGCCTGCACTGCTTTGTCTCGCCACTGCACCGACTCGCCACTACGCCGCTAGCCTTTCTCCACCGCCACCCTAGGTATAATTGACCTCTCTTGCTTACAGTTGTCGTACATAACCCAGTTAGGCGTCTCCCGTCCGAAACAGATATGGTTGGAGGTATGTAGATCTTTGCATATCTATGACCGTGTCATTTGGATTGTCCACGTTTTTAGATAGATCATGCGGATGCGTGATGATGATGGGTTAGTTTCCATGTTCTGCTCGGATCCGAGACGGAGTTTCGGCACCACCTCCCTGTTGTTCTCCGGATACACACTCTCCCTTCCAGGATGTGTATCGAGAGAATAGCGGGGAGGTGCTGCCGAAATTATGTCTTGGATCGAAGTAGAGCATGGAAACTAACCTTATCTACGCATCCGCGGGTGGGATTAGGACCTATCCTCACCTATTAGACAGCAGGCACGCCATGTAGATGCAACTGATGGTTATATTACTCCATTATGTGTATATGATATTGCTCCGTTATGTGTATATGGTAGAGGATGGAGAACCATGAGTGGATGTACATGAGACGCCCAAGTCAGGCTCAAATCACCCGTGAATGGATGGATACGACCGAGAAATTCTTGGACCATGCATTTAAGGAACCTAAGGGAGCGAGAGACACGTTCTGTCCCTGCAGCGATTGTGAAAACAAGAAAAGAAAAACAAGGGAAGTCATGATGAAGCATCTTTGCAAGTTTGGATTTATGCCAAACTATACCCGATGGGTGTACCATGGTGAAGCCTATCGTCCTAGAGAGGAGGTCATGAGACGACGCTTGGAGGCATTTGATGGTGATGGCAGGGTAGAAGGATGGTTAGGTGACTATGAGGATGCGATGTTCGCTGAAAGACCTCTGGAGGTCGGGCAGGATGATGATGATGAGGAGCCAGAGCCAAGCGCTAAGGCGTTCTTGGCCATGTTGGAATCGGCACAGAAGTTCCTACATGAGAAGACAACGGTTTCTCAACTGGATGCCATTGGGCGCCTACTAGGGTTGAAGTCCCAGCACAACATGACTCGAGCCTGCTTCGATGCTATGATGGCAATTATTGGGGATTTGCTTCCGGAGGGTCTTCATCTACCGAGCAGCTTGTACGAGTCAACGAGACTCCTTCGGGCACTGAAGATGCCGTATGAGCAGATACATTGTTGTTCGAAGGGGTGCGTCCTATTTAGAAAAGATCACAAGGATGCAAAGTACTGTCCAAAGTGTAAATCCTCTAGGTATGTGGAGGTAGACAAAGGTGATGGCAAGAAGGAGTAGAATGAGGGGATCCCCATGAAATTCCTACGATACCTTCTGATTATACCGAGGCTCCAATGGCTATTCATGTCCGAGGAGTCCCTGAAACAGATGACATGGCACAAGAATAGCGTTCGATACAATCCTGACAAGATGGTACATCCAGCAGATGGTGAAGCATGAAAAAACTTTAATGGCAACCATCGTGGCAAAGATGAAGAGGCCCGTAATGTACATATTGCACTGGCAACAGATGGGTTCAATCCTTATGGAATAATGTCGGCCCCATACACTTGTTGGCCCGTGTTTGCTATCCCCCTCAATCTCCCTCCCCCCCCGGGGGCCTTACTTCAACGACAAAACATATTCTTGACGTTGATAATTCCCGGACATCCAGGAAACAAAATGGGCGTGTACATGGAGCGGTTTATGATGAATTGATCAAGGTTTGGAATGAAGGCGTATGGACTTACGACCGAGCTACAAAGAAGAACTTCAAAATGTATGTTTGGTACTTGTACTCCATGCATGACTTCCTGGCGTATGGGATATTCGCCGGCTGGTGTGTCCACGGGAAGTTTCCATGCCCAGTATGCAAGGCAGTTCTACAGTTCATTTAGTTGAAGAAGGGTGGCAAGTTCTCGTCGTTCGACAAGCATCGGCAGTTCCTCCCTCTTGACCATCCATTTAGAGAAGACACCAAGAACTTCACGAAAGGTCTCACGGTGACCGACCCTGCACCTCAGAAGATGACTGGTGGCCAGGTTCATGCTCAGATAGATGCTCTCGTGGTCCCGACACAGAAAGATAATCCAAAGAAGGGTAAAAGAAAGAATGTTAATCCAAAGAAAGATAATACAAACAAAGATCGCTTTGTGGGCTATGGTGTGGAACATATGTGGACTCATAAGCCAGGATTAGAGAGGCTTCCCTATTTTGATGACCTTCTCCTTCCACATAACATAGATGTAATGCACACTAAGAAGAATATCGCCGAAGCACTTTGGGAAACACTCATGGACATTCCTAACAAGACAAAGGACAACCCTAAGGCTAGAGTAGATATGGCAACACTATGCGACAGACCAAAGCTACAGATGCTGTCTCCAAGAGACGGCAAACCATGGAAAAGGCCTAAGGCCGATTACGTCTTGGAAAAGAAGCACAGGACGAAAGTGATACAATGGATGCAGACGTTAAGTTTCCCTGATGGGTTTGCAGCGAATCTGAGGAGGGGAGCGAACCCAGATACTGGCCGAGTGTTAGGGATGAAGAGTCATGACTTCCACATATGGATTGAGCGGCTTCTTCCATCGATGGTTCATGGCTACATCCCTGAGCATGTCTGGAAGGTGCTGACAGAGTTGAGCTTTTTCTTCCGCCAGCTTTGTGCCAAGGAGATCTCTCTGAAAGTGGTTGAGGAGTTGGAAAAAACGGCACCCAAGTTGCTCTGTAAGTTGGAGAAGATCTTTCCACCTGGCTTTTTCTTGTCGATGCAGCATTTGATTTTGCACCTCTCGAACGAGGTCCGAATGGGGGGGCCCATGCAGAACCGTTGGTGCTATCCAATCGAGAGATGTCTAAAGACTATTCGCCAGAAATGTGGAAACAAAGGTAGGATTGAGGCTTCCATAGCAGAGGTATTCATTCGTGAGGAGGTGTCAAACTTCACAACATTATACTATAGTGACAACCTTCCTAGCGTGCATAATCCACCCCCTC